GTGCCAGTTGTTTGTTCCGGAGATATAAACATACTTTCACACATAGATTGCCAAATAACAGTAAAGAATGTACTATGCGTGCCTAGTTTGACGACAAACTTATTATCAGTTAGCGAGCTTATCAACAATGGCAACAACGTTGTATTTAAAGAAAAGCATTGTTATATTTACAGCAAGAATAAGGCTTTGGTTGCGATAACTGATCTAACTATCTAACTGATGGTGTATATAAGTTGCGGTTACAGACGCCAAATTATTTGTTGGCAGCTCCTGTAGTTCCAGGAAGACTATGGCTGGCAGAAGGCTGGCTCATATTAATAGTCAAGATATGACCAAAATGAAAAATGGCATTGTGGATGGCTTAACATATGATGGTTCTTTTGAAATCTCAAAAAATGAATGTACTACATGTTGTGAGGGCAAGCAGCTGAGATTACCTTTCTCTCATGTAGGTGAACGAAGTTCAGAAACATGTCACCGAATACATAGTGATTTATGTGGTCCGATGGAAGTTAATTCACTGAATGGCAGTTAATATTTTTTGCTATTCATCGATGACTATAGTAGGATGACTTTCATTTATTTTCTCAAGCAGAAAAATGAAGCACTTGATCGATTTAAAGAATTTAAATCAATGGTTGAAAATCAACAGAAAAAGAAAATAAAGATTTTTCACACCGATAATGGATTAGAATACTATAGTAAAGAATTTGAGCACTATTTAAAACTATCAGGTAAAATACATCAAAAAACGAATAGTTATACGCCTGAACAAAATGGTATCTGTGAGACGGCTAATCGTACTGTGGTTGAGAAAGGAAAATGCCTTTTATATGATGCAAAAATAGACAAGAGATTTTGGGCTGAAGCGGCCAATACACCTGTTTATTTGAAAAATAGGTCCATTGTCTCAGGAATACCAAAGACCCCATATGAACTGTGGCATGGGACGAAACCTGACCTAAGTCACATCAGATTGTTTGGAAGTAAAGTAATGGTTCACACCCCGAAGGAGAAACGCTTAAAGTGGGATAAGAAAGCTACACTGCACATCTTAGTTGGATATGCAGAGGATGTTAAAGGGTACAGATTGTACAACCCCACTAAAAATACTATTATCACCAGCAGAGACGTCATTGTGATGAAAGATGCAACAGTTGATAGTGAAGCTATTGATGAGGCTATCTGGATACCAGATCTACAAACACCAGAGAGCGGAGTGGAGGTACCAGAGCAAGAAGTCCAAAAAACATCAGTTCAAGTGGAGCTAGAACCATATGAGAAACCAAAGAGACTGAGGAAACAGCCTGAGAGATATGGTTTCAGTAACATATGTGTATCCAGTACTGTTCCAGCGGAGGAGATATCACTCTCAGAGGCTCTTGAGTGGCCAGAGAAGGAGCAGTGGAGGCGTGCCATGACTGATGAATTGCAGGCGTTCGAAGACAATGATGCGTGGGAGTTAGTTAAAAATCCAGGTGATGTATCAATAGTGAAGTGTCGATTGGTGTTTAACAAAAAGTTAGATATAGACAAAAATGTGTGTTACCGGGCTCGACTTGTAGCGAAAGGCTTTACACAAAAGCAGGGAGTGGATTAGTAAAGGAGTGTAATTCGCCATTCCACTCTCAGACTACTTTTTGCTCTTAGTGTTAAAATGAGAATGAGCATAACACATTTAGATGTAACTACTGCCTTCCTAAATGGTTTTTTGAAAGAAAATATCTATATGTCAATACCTGAAGGCTTTGCAAACAAAAGTGGGGGAAATATATTGAGATTAAAACGAGCCATTTATGGATTAAAGCAGTCGTCATAACTATGCTAAAAGAATATTGAGATACTTACAATGTACTAAAAACTATTGTCTAACTAAGGTATGCTACTGATGATATGGATTTACAAGGTTTTGTTGATAGTGATTGGGCATCTGATGTCATAGACAGAAAATCTTATACTGGTTTTTGTTTCAAAATGTCAGGGTCAGCTGTTTCCTGGCGAAGCAGAAAACAGAAGACTGTTAGTCTGTCTAGCACTGAGTCGGAGTACATTGCCTTATCAGAAGCCTCTAGGGAAGCTGTATACTCGTATTTAAGAAGTTTATTGAATGAAATTACTGGTGCATTGCATTTAATTGTCTTATTTTGTGACAATCAAAGTACATTAAAAATGGCATCGAGTCACAATACTCACAATAGATCTAAGCACATAGATGTACGCTATCACTATATTAGAGATGTTGTCAAGGATAAGCATGTTAAATTGAAATATATTCCTACTGAGGAAATGCCTGCTGATCTTTTGACAAAAGGCTTGTGTTATGTAAAGCACCAGAAATTTGTGGAAATGCTTGGTATTGTTCCAATGTAAGGTTTTAAGTATTTCTTGTTTATTTTGATAAGTGGGGGTGTTAGTATGATAATGTTTTTATCAAAATATATTTAGTTTTAAATCACTACTAACGCCATCTGTTGTCACAAAAGTGTAACCATATTTGTCATTGAACCTTTTAATACAATTGACAAGTAGTCTGTTGCGATCTACCAACGTGTTTTAATAGTTTCTACGGAGGTGGCATGCGCGTTGGCCGGAACTCCCCCGTGGGATTTGGAGGCGGAAGTGCTCGCCGAAGTTTATCGGCGAGTGGCCGACTCCCGGGCGGAGAGCGGATTTCGCCCTCCGCCCGAGGATGTGCGCGAGTGGCGCGAAGCCGCTCGCCGAGCCACAATGGCTCGTTGGTCGTTCCGGCTGGAGACTCCACGAGCTGGCTTCGCCGCCGTGGAGGCTCTCCAGCCGGTCATCGCCGAGTGGGCAGGGCGGCAGCACGGGACCCTTTCCTTCCGGCTGACGCAGGTGCTTTCCGGGCACGGTTGCTTCGGAAAGTACCTGCACACGGTCGCTAGGAGGGAACTGAGTCCTGCCTGCCACCACTGCGACTGCAGTGAGGACTCGGCCCAGCACACGCTGGCGGTCTGCCCCGCATGGGCGGCGCAGCGCCGGGCCCTCACTGCAGTCATCGGAGTGGATCTCTCGCTACCGGCCGTAGTACGCTCCATGGCCGGTAGCGACAGTTGTTTTACCGCGGTCGCAACCTTCTGTGAGGTAGTAATCTCGCGGAAGGAGGCGGCGGAGAGGGCCCGGGAGGACGACCTCCACTCGGACCCGATCCGCCGCCGGCGAACCGGGCGGCGGAGGCCCGCCTACCACAGCCTCATGCCGCCCTGAGTGTGGCCGCGGGTGGACAGGGTGGGTTTCCCCTCCACCCGCATTAGTTTGGCCAGCCGCGAGGGGGCGGCGTCCGCGTGTGCCGGACGTCGCCTAAAGAGAGGAAAATACATTGAGACGGAGCCCGCACCAGGAGCGGGCTGGCGCTAGGAGGGGTCCGGATGTCTTAACAACAGCTGTTCCCGGATCCCTCCTGTTACAGGCGCAGAGTGGCACACCGTGTGGTTTTAGTCGGTCCGAGTCCGACACACCACCCCGCCGCAAACCCCGGAGGGGTGACGGTCCGAGGGGATTTCCACACGTTAAAAAAAAAAAAAAAAAAAAAAAAGGGTTTGTGTCGAGTTTTCTTTCTCTTTGCAGTGCTGTTGTCACGTGCGTAGTATGCTTCCGACTCTTTCGACATCCACGGGATGAATAGAGGTGGTAATACTCCGTATTCTTAATCTGTCATCACACGGATCATTTATACTAATACTAGAATCGTTTTACTCAATTGTATTTGCATCATGTGCATCGAAGGAGTAAGTGATTCAAAATATATTGCGATTTTCATCAATATCATATAGCATCTGACTGTATGAATCATCAATAGTTTTTAATTAACTTGAACATTATTGACTTTTTAAACCAGAACTCTAGTTGGCTAAAATGTTATCAGAGGGAAAACATAACCAGGATCAGATACATGGTCTCAACTCATTAATATCCAAGTTAATAATGGGTGTTTTGTGTGTTTCTTGTCTTTATTGGTATATCCATATACGCAGCATAAAATGCTGCAAGAAATCTCTTTAAGGAAAGTATCATCCACAACAGGCACCGTTATGGAGCTTTTTCAATACTCAAAACAAACTAATTTGGACAGACAAACTAATAAGTAAAGTATAATACAAACTAAATTATTTATGTTATGAAAATGTTTTGAAGAATGGTACCCATACTGTTATGAGTAGAACTGCCATGTGCAAACATAGCATACCTCGTCATGCTTTTATGTTATTGGTAAATTTTATATTATTATTGTGATTATTAATTTATTATAAATTTGACATTATTTTATATATTCAACTGTTTCTGTATTACCATTGTTTTAATATTTTATATTCATTGCCCAAGATCGGGAGGCCTTCGTTCAGCAGTGGACGGCAATGGGCTGATGGTGATGATGACCATTGCTGTGCGCGTACATTTTTGTATATTACTCTTACTTACTTTAATTTTGTTTTTTTTTTGTGTTATTAGTATTTGTTTTTTTTTCTATAATAATATATAAAACATATGACGATAACTCGAAGGAGTTTATCTTGCATCTCATTGTAATAGTTTTGTATATGTATCAGCCAAAAAACGAAACTGATGAAACTGGGCTCCACAGCTACAAAGACGACGACGAAGCTCACGAAGCACCAATCCACGTACGCCCAAATTTTATACTGTAAGAGAGGCGGTCAAAAAATTTCAGCGGTTATTTTCCGAAAGCTAGTTGACCCGAATGTGCATTGGGGTCGGAGACAAATATTTTATAAAGCTATAACACTTTTCCACACCCTAACTCTTTTTCTTGTGGTCTAAAATGACATCGTTGCTCCGTACAGAACCATGCATAAAATATACCATTTACAATTCAAATTGTAATTAAAATTGGTAACCTTCGAATTAATTATCAAATTTTTAAGAATTTCAATAAATACACAAAAGGTATAAAAGAGTTACCTTTATAACTATTTTAAAAGTGTTAAAAAATACGCTAGACAGAACTTACTTCATAAATAATTATGTGGAAACAACTCTTATTTGTAGCGTTTGCGGTTAACGCTTTTTTCTTCACATGCGCTCAAGGTATTTTTGCATTATTTACTAAGTAAATTCCTTTCAACAAAAAAGGTTTTATAATCCTTGAAAGGATATATGAGAGTTTTTCTTAGATTTGCAATTTAGTGTGATTTCAATTGTATTAAAATAATATATTATCCTTAAACTGACTCTGCTGACATCTGAGATCAGCAGGATTGCCAACTCACACAAACTTATAGCAGAGGTACACTGTATGAGCGTATTTAAATAGTCTTAATGATTAAAAGTAGAGTGCATGCTACATAATATGTAGTCCATGGCTGGGCATCAATGAAGGAGTTGGTCGGTGCCCTTTTTTCAGTATAGCTTAAGACCGCAGCCAGGTTCTGCACAGGAAATGCATGAGGCGCATGTGTAGAGAGCATCAGGAAGTCGTGAGTCCAGAATGTTTGTTTTTGAAGACAAAAATACAATTTGTATTATGCAATAATATTAGCGTATTACAATAGGTCATTAAAGCCAAATTATTTATAATTTGAGAGTTTCTAATTATGAATCTCAAGTTCATTAAAATGTTGAATATTTGGAAGGTTTCATTTTATTAATTATGTTAATCAAAGAAGCGAAGTTTTGATATTTTTGTTTCTTTTTTTAAATAAAATAAAGACATTGATTATTAATATATCGTCTTAACTTTTCTAGGGTTATAATATATATAAGACAAACATAACCCAAAAGGGCTACACAGTGCACTCAAGGAGTGTTTGTAGACGCGTTCACTCCAGTGTTAATTAAGCCTATTCGATTAATCAGTAAGAAGAGAAAATGATGGTATTTTTCATTTTCTTAATTTTTTTGTTGAGGTATTTTAAATCGTGTGCTTGTTAACATACAAAATTATATTTTAATTTTATTACAGTTACATGTGATAGACCAAACGAACACTATAAATGTGGGTCTGCATGTCAAACTACGTGTGAAAACTATCTCTCTTTATCTCTCTGCCCTGTAGTCAACGTAAGATGTACTAACGCGTGCTACTGTGTAGATGGATTTGTCAGAAATGACAGTGATATTTGTATTCCTATCTCGGAATGTAAAGGTTTGTGTTACCTTACTTATCTCATAAATTTCCATTGCTGCAGGTCGTCTCTTCTGAAAAGATTGAGTTTCCTTTCCATAATAACCTAAATGTTAATACGTGAAGAAAAACCGTAAGCACATATGGCGCATAGAAACACTTTCTTTCTAGGTAAATACCTAATATTTTGGAATACGTAATGTTTTTTTTATGATGCATTAGCGATCCGCCCCGGCTTCGCACAAGTGCATTGTAGATACTACTAATGCTACGGGCTATGCTGCTCCCGGGTACGGATGTACGGCCCGACGCGGCGACCGTCACTTCGCCCCGCATTTTAAACCTCCAATATCTACTAAAATATTGATTTTATTGAAATGCTGTAAAGAGCAATTTTAATCTAAACTCGGTTCCAAAAATAACGGGTCAGTCACATAAACCCGAATATCTCCCGAACTACGTATGCCATCCTAATGAAACGAAGACTGTTCAATTGAGAATTTAATTATACAGATAAAAAATAAAATAAAACTTAAATCTCTAACTCTCTAAACTCTCTTACTCTTAACTTATCTCTAAATTAAAAAAAAACTAAAGTAGTCATATTTTTCTTAAGATTAATTTTTTTATGATTGATTTTTTGCTGTTTTTCATCACTTTCTTCATTTAATACTTTGTATTGCCTCCACGAGCCCTTCTGACAGCTTCCAGGCGATTAGGCATGCTGTACACCAAATTTCAGAGCAGGTGCTGAGGAATACCTTCCCATTCCTCCACCAGTGCTTGTTTGAGCTCAGGAAGCGTGATTGGTGGGGGGGTTTCGACCTTTCACGCATCTCTGAAGCTCGTCCCAGGCGTGCTCGATGGGGTTTAAGTCCGGGTTTCGCGCTGGCCACTGCATGAGTTCGATACCGACCTCTTCAAGGTAGTCATGTACAATTCTGGCGGTATGGGGACGCGCATTATCATGCATTAATATGCCATGCCGGTCCATCCTGGCCATGAAAGGACCTATATGTTCATTGAGGATCTCTTCCACGTACCTCTTTGCATTTAGAGTTCCATTTTGAATGAGTACCAGCTCGGTGCGGGCCTCAGTAGAAGTCCCAGCCCAAACTTGTACGGAACCTCCACCGTACGCCACTTTTCCCTCCACACACGCTTGATGGAAGCGCTCCCCTGGTCTTCTGTACACGAACTGCCTACCATCATGCTTATAAAGCATGAATTTAGACTCGTCCGTGAACATTACCCTAGACCAATCGTCTAGTGTCCAGTTTAGGTGCTCGCGCACGTATCTCTATCTTGCAATTCGATGTCCCCGTTCCAGTTTGGGGTCATTTGCGGGCCTCAATGGTTTCAACTTTGCTTCAGCAAGACATCTTCTTACTGTTTGAGCGCTTAAATTGCCACCTCCAAAGCGAATAAAGTGAGTTTTTAGACCAACAGCAGTTTGAAAACGATTTCGGAGCATTGTAGCCACCAGTTGTCTGTCTTCCCTAACCGTTGTGCATCTTGGTCTGCCATTTTCTGGTCTTCTAAGGTGAGATCCGGTCTCTTGGTACCGCTGGACTACCCGCTGAAAAGTCGACAAAGATACACCAATGTTTCTGGGTTTTTCACACCGGCTCCGCCCAAGTTCCAAAAAAGTTAGGATTCTGGTACATTCCTCTAGCGTGACTGCCATGCTTCACCTCACAGAATAATAATTATGCACGTGGAAGACGTTCACGATAATTTTTTTGTGACAGAATAGAAATGGAAAGCATCCATAATGAAATGAAACAAAAATTTTGTTTTTAAAAATAGTCATTTTTTTAAATTTTGTTTTTCTAATGAAGTTTTTTTCATCAACCAGTTTAAATAATATGCTATTAGAAGCGCAACTAAAAAGTCTTTATTCTGTTTTTTATTTCATTGATCTAACTTTTACAGTTCTGGAGGTATTTCAATTTTTGTGACTGACCCGTAATTTTTGGAAGCGAGTATACATTAGACGCACAACGTACCTAACGTATTTAATGTTTTGTAACCCCGACGTATGTGCATAATTTCACGGTGATCGGTTGAGTGGATAAGGCGTGAACGAATAAGTAACAAAACACTATATTATTTTGAATTTAACGAGTCCTTATTATAAGTGATTACATGTTAATATAAAAGTTGTATGTATTTATGCCACATGATGGATTTTATAACGTCTAATAAATTTGATGCGAGTATTTGTTACAGGATCCTCTTCCCGATGATCAGTCGCGCCTGTGAAAAACCTCTCGATGACACTTTGAGAGAAAGTTTTTGAGCACTTACCCTGAGCACACCTTTTTTTTTTGGCGAGGTGGTTTACTTCGGATCTCCAGCTAAATTAGTGTGTGTTATCGCCTACCGCAGCAATTAATCAGCCACCAGAAGTCCCCACTCTGTGGCAGCCTGAGCACACCTTACAAGTCCTTTTTCAACTCAGAACACTAATAAATGTCCTAATGTATATATTAATAGAAGTAAATAAAATAAATAATATGGATGGCGTAGTGGTTTAAGCGGTCGGTTAAATTTCCAGAACGAAAACGTTGAAAGCAAAAACGTACCGTGCTTTCTTTTGCGACACCAGCGCCGTACACATCATTAATCCTTAGAGCTGTTTCTGCAGCACTGGTGCCACGGTAGAACTCGGACTCGTAAATATACCGATATTTCATGTTTTCCATTGTGCGGTAATAAGCGACGCCAAAGAAAAAAATTATGAGGAAAAAACAAATGAATGACTGTTTTCAAAAATCAAATGTAACAGCTATATGAATTTATAAATTTGAATTTGGAATTCTTAACTAAAGAGGAGATATTTTAGATCAAAGTGGATATTTCAGACCTAATAAATTAACTATGTATTGAACTAAACGTGGCCATTTGGCCATCGTGGTATAGTAGGCCTTTCTAAGGAGAGGCCTATATCCAGCAGTAGACTATTAAATGCTGTTGATTGATGATGATGACATTAGTTTGACCTTAATCTATCACAGCAATCTTAAGAATAATTGATCTATTTGTTTGTTACCAATACGCAGGATAAAATATTCGATTGAGATTTAATTTGATTTAATTTGATATTGTATTTATAAGTTAGCTAACAAAAAATCTATTTCTTCTTCTTTAGAATATTAGTATAGATAAAATAAGAAAATATGTTCTATGATACTGTATTTTTGGCCTCTCTTATGGCCTGCAGTTCCAATCTGGTTTACACAAATAAACTTATAAAGTCGAAAGACCTCCTTAAATTGGTATTTTTAGTAGAATAAGTATTACTGGCATTATAGTCTAGTATGTCCTTGCTCATGCATCAAGCTATCTCTATATCAAATTTCATCTAAATCGGTCAGAGGTTTTCATGGAACTAGTCCCTCCCACACACCCACCGCTGTAACTCCTGTACACCAGGATCAATAGCAGTGACCCACGAACACACCGAGTTATGACACTCTCGAAAAAAATAAAACTGTCTTGGAACCCGCAACGAAATAAATCAGAAGAATATTGGAGGAGTTGGAAATATAATAAATCCACGTCCCTCCTTAGCGAAACGGGAGACAAAATGAATTAAAATAGAGTATACACCTTTTTAAACAGGGAAGCACCAGGGCCATGAAATATTATGGGTCCTAATTAACTAACTCCAACTGGCTATTCACCCTAGTTGACACAGACCGCCCCAGGTGTCACATGTAAGCTATTTAGCATTATATTACGTTCATTATGCATTACGTTCATTGACTGCACGGATGGCGTAGTGGTTTAAGCGGTCGCAACGCCGCTTCCTACTGCGCCGAGTGTTGTGGGTTCAAACCCCACATGGAACGACACTTTTTGTGATCCGTTTCATATATGTTTATAAAGTCCCCCGCGACACAGGAATGTATTCCTTCTGCGGGAGTTGTCTATTTTAAATAATAGAAATAATAATAATTATACCAAAGACTAGATTCCCATAGGATATGATGAGCAGACTCACTTCATAGTTAGAGTCACTGACACAATGGTGACTCCACTAATCTAAATAAATACAGGGTGCTCTTAAAGTAACCATGATCTGTAAGAAATTAAGCGACACAGTGATCCACCTCAAGCTATATCCTCGACAAGCGTTTGCAAACAGATGGAAAGAACTGGTAAAAGTGGCACCCCTCAAATAATTCGTCCCAGCGTTGTTGCCGTTCGTCTATGAGGCCGTTATAGACGTCTGTTGAAGTAATCTTGTAATATAGCGATCTTGTGCGCCCAAAAAATCGCATTCCATGTTTTGCAGTATTGAATAGTACATGGCTGCACGTCTTTGCACCTCGAGATTGACCGGAAGCACACCCGCCAACACCGGCAGAGCAAATTTCTAGGTAAACAAATATGCCTTATAATACCTTAGTCTCAGTGTATTACTATCAATGTCATTAAAGATATCACTATTTATTACTTTATAAACAAATTATAATTTGCACGACTACTGCATTGTTCAATAAACTTTTAATGCACTGTGCAGTATGTGTGTGTGTGTGTGTACTGTGTGCAGTAACGATATCAACTTTGGTCTCAGCTGCAATTCTGAATATAATTAGATATCAATTTTCTGCATTGTTATCTGATGAAATAAATGTAGGTATGAAAAGCACTCTTTCCTCGCAGAACCAAAAACGGGTGATGATAGAAAGATTCTGGAGAATGAACCACGTATATTAAAACGTGGTGTAACTTACACCACGTTTTAATATACTAATATATAAGCCAGCCAAACTGTAAGTTCACCTGGTGAAAGGTGAAGTAACGATCTACGCAAAACATTGGGGAAGTACTGGGTTAAGAGAGCAGATGATAAAATACTAATATTGATGAGGACTTAGGTTCAAAGTAGTACAAGCTACATTATTATAAATTTCAAAATCATAAAATATTAAGCAAGTCAAAATTGTGTATTTGACAGGTTGTAACGGGACCTATTCACCACTGTAACTCCTATACACTAGGATCAACAGCAATGACCCACTAACACACCGACTTATGATACTCGGGCAGTCCCAGGAAAAGATTAAACTGTTTTGGAACCTGCAACTAAATTGGGATGGCCACGCCACTTCCTACTACGTTGAGTGCTGTGGGTTCGATCTCCACATGGGACGACACTTTGTGTGATCCACAAATTGTTGTTCTGAGTCTAGTTATTCTTTATGTCCGTTTTATCTATGTTTGTAAAGTTCCCCGCGACACATAATATATTCCTAATGCGAGAGTTGTATTAGAAAAAAAAATAGAATAAAATTGGGGGAGTTGAAAATATAATAAATTCACTTACTTGCATAGCATAGGGAGACAAAACGAAATAAAAATAGGCATACACCCTTTTAGACAGGGAAGCACACACGCAAATATTAGGTCTTTACCTATGAAGTTGCAGATGTGTATAAAAAATTTAAAACATAACAATATTGCTTATTTTTTATTTTAGCCAATTTTCCTTACAATTTGCCAATTTTGATGGCAGTTTGTTTATCCCTTTACTGTAGAGTCTGAATCTGTTGGATGGGAGGCAATAAAGTCAGCGAAAGCGTTTTGTACTGGCTCTCGGGTGATGAATTTTTTCTCACTTATTTTTTTATAAATTTTGAGGAAAGTACAAATCTGTTGGAGCAAAGTCCGGTGAGTACGGTGAGTGACGGAGAGTTTCCAGCTGTAACGCTTTTAGCTTTGTGATGGTCTGTCGTGAAGTGTGAGCTCGAGCGTTGTCGTCGAGAAGCAATGGGGAAAGTAAGTAAGTTAAAAGCACCTTGAAGTTTTTGTTTGGTGCAAAAGTTAAGCGATTACGTTTAACCCAATGAGATAATAAGTATCAGATTTAACCAATAATAAACCGTTATCAGCATACTCGATCAGTGTTCATCCGGATGGTATTAGTAGCGTAAGAAAGTCGTCGAAGCCTATATTCCATAAGCATGATCCCATCATCCCATTGTACAGGAACAGGTTGTTTTGGTGCAAAATTTCAAGACAGGTAAAAGGTGTTTTTTTAAGGTTAAATTAATGCAAGAAAGTAAGTAGATTGTCCAGAAGGCAGAGGCATGAATAAATGACATTACCTCGACTTTACTCAATAATCGTAAAAACTACGAGACGATTATTGTATAAGTATAGTTTAGCTAGTCATCGAACTTTCAAAAATAGGCAGATTCAAAATGTTGTCCTAGCGATAACACCAATGTTTGTCAGAGAGCATTTACAGTCGTAAATGCTCTCTGACAAACAGCTGCCAGCGTCAAGGATGATGCACGTAAAACTATAAAACCTACAAATGTACAACAGCAGATAAGTGTGCTAAGGATAAACGATACTTACATTCTTATAAATAAGATATTTAGGGACTACTTACTTACTTACTTACGTTTATGTTATTCTACTGACATTGTACTATACAATAAATAATTCTTTTGCGAATAATTGTTTAAATCAAAGACTTCACATTATTGCAGCACAAATCAGCACGAAGGTCCGACGACTTGGGGAAAGTGGCTGGCAGCGGATGAATACGGACTGCCTAAGACCGGGATAGTACGCGCTCCTTCGGTTTTCCCTGTATTGAGTAGTGGAAGTCAAGTTTAAAGTTGCATACGCTATGGAGTATGTCTATACAGGTGGCAAAACAACCTTCTCCTCTCTTTCTCCTTAAAACAACTGCATATTTTTTTAATGTTTATAACGCAATGGGAAACGTATTTTTTAATATCACGATAGATAATCCTTTTATCGTCAAGTGTTTCGTGCAAGCAATTGACGTAAAAAGTAAACTTTACAACATTTGTTACTAGAACAAAAACATTTATCAACTTCATTATTTGTACAAATACAGTTCTAACACTTGTATAGTGTCGTTGTAAAAAGCAGGCCCTTACAATTGAAATTTTGCTAATTGGCCACTTGGGATTAAGACGGTGTTCATTTGAACACCTACTAGTATCCATCCTTATAACCTAAACTAGCGCTATTTGTCCGTGTTCACCCGTTTTTAAGCTAATGCTTTTGTATATATCAAAATATACAGTTTTTGCGAAAAATACTACTATTCAATATATATTTTTGTACTAAAATACCTATATTAACATGGGCTGAAAAGTCCCGGGCCTAACAAAGAAAACACAGTGTTTTTGGTTCACAATTAGCTTTAATCATCAACGTAATCTCCATCAAGAGCAACGCAATCATTCCAGCGCCG